ATTTTGTGAACACTTCGGGGAGCTTACGAGTAGTCAGGCGGTAATTAGCCACACTGCATTTCTTTTGCGACTTTGTCATCCAGTCTTTGGAACAGCAGGCTTTAATTGTTGACCATTTCTTGCTCCGAAAACAACTTCGTAATCCGAAATCCAGTTAAATTCGTCCAATATACTCTGTATTCTTCCTTTTCTCCATTTTGTTTTTATGTTTACCGACAACAACGTGGTTTCCCGCATTGAAGAGTTCCTATAAATACCGTAAATACGCAATTCGGCGCGCGCATGTGTTTGACAACGAATACTCTTTCTAATAACGTAGCCTTTGTCACTGTATCTGATAATTGAGGTTCGTAATTCTGGAGATAAGCGTGAGATCTTCTGCAGTTCTACCATTTGCCTAAGTGAATTGATAAACTGCGAGCGCATCCTAACCCAAAAAGACGGAGTAGACGATCGAACTAAACAGCCGGACGGAACAGCCGGACGGAAAAGCCGAACTAAACGACCAAATGAAATAATTGGACGATAGGGACGGTCGAAATAACCGAACGGAACTATTTAGCTGATACGAACGAAACAGACGGAACATACGAACGGTGCTCGAACGGTGAACGACCGCTTTCTAGACGCTAGACGACCGCTAACCGCACGCGAGCCGCACGCAGAACGAACTGAACCTAGGTGGATACTTGGGCGTAATTCTAACTGTACATTTAATAAGAGGTTATTTGAGGAACGTTCTAGATTTCGATCAAAGGCTAGGTAAAGTTCGTTGAACTGTTACAGAAATCTGTAAAACTATCTTTACAAAAAAAACACATGTAAAAATAGATTTCAATTTTCATTACTAAACAATCTTTCGTAACATGTTACAAACTCTTTTACATTAACTATGGACGAGCGTGATAGTGCAAGTGTGGTGTAGAATGGCATTAAGACTGGATTTCAATATATACAAAATGTAATTTACAAAATATACACAATATTTTTGCTATTTTTAAGTAGCATAACACTTTGCTTTCTCACTCTCACACAAAGTATATACAGCAACATAAGGATCACAAAAAGCAAATATTTATACTCATACTGATATCACACAGGTAAACTATACACCAATACTGGCAAAGTCAATGTATCAGTCACTGTATGAAATCACTGCCCGAATACAGTGATCATGATAAGGTTCGTCCACCCCGCGGTCTGTAGTCCCCGGTCCCGTCTCTCCTCTTGATGACCTTGACCATATAACTCATGTGATGATGGACTCAACAAAATCCAAACGAGGGGTTACACGTAACGAATGGTCAGACCAACTGACATAAAGTGTCCACACAGAGCACGGTCCGTCCGCATAAATGATTCACTACCCCGGTAGATATACAGCACACAGCAATCAGTTTTACAAGAACCAAAAGACGTTGTCCACACAGGACTATCATCATAAATAATAGCTTCCACTTCAGCTAGTGGTTCTTGCAGTCCTCACAGGATTAATAGTGCCTGGTTTTCATCATTGACCCTGGGTGTGAGCTACAATATATGAACAACAGACGTACTACCTATAGCTATAAACTGACTGTCATTAAACGGTAACATATACGTACAGACTTTCTTACTACCCATATGTATATACAATGACAATAACTGTGAGACAAGTTAATACGCTATTTCTACCAATTTACTAAGTAGAGTCTATTTGTATAAAAATTAAAAGCACGGCACAGGCCGCCTTAATATTTATGGTAATCCACTCAACCGAGACCCGTACACTTGAACTATATGCCTGTTACCAATACTTTCAGTTAGATCAGAAAATGGGCAATTAAATGGGAATGGTTTATAGGTAATACTATGTTAAACAATATATGTTAACATGCTTATGTATCGCCTTGATCTTATAAAGCTAAAACAGTACATATGCATCGTGCGCGTGAATGTAAACAATGTACACCCGATATACAGGTATGGTCATATATACAATGTACAATCAACAGGTAAAATGACTAGAAATATCACAGATGAACTACAACTATGTACATGTCGTTGAATAACAATGTTACAACAAATATAAAAACTCACCACAATCTGTAGTTTGCGTTTGCTTACACATTCAAAATAACGTTTGAGCAAATCTACCTGTGGCTACCATAGCTACCTGTTAATTCCTATTTAAAAACCGTAGACGGATGACCAGAACTCCATCTATAACAAAAAAAAAATGATCCATCTCATCAATAAAATTAAGTAAACATTTTTTTTTTATTAGTGCCCGTGACAACGGAGTCATTTAATAATTCGACATTACAACTGCTGTTTTGATGAAATGAGCAGAAGTGGTATCCTATTGTTCTCTAATATAAACCTATTTTCTAACAGAAACAGACTTTGACATCCGCCTGAGTGGAGGCCCGGAACCTAATGTGGGCCGTGTAGAAGTGTTTTACAGTGGTTACTGGGGAAGTGTTTGCGGCTACTACGACTGGGACGACAGAGACGCTTATGTAACTTGCAGGACGTTAGGATACAGGTAATGTACCGACATTCAGGCTTATGTTGCCATCCCCAACAGTGCAATCGAATAAAAGAAGAAAGATGTTTTCAGAGATATCTATAGACTATCACACTATTTCCAGGGTTCATTTAATTCACACTATCACACTGGTTTCTCGAGTCCACCTGCGATGACCTCTAAATTTTATCCACGTGCCAGCTTTGTGAAAATTGTTCTCACTTGTGTGCGATAATCTATTTATCATCTTTACCGCCTTGTATGTTTCATCATAAATCGACTAAACCCCGTGCAATGCATCTTTCAACAGCATATTATCGCTTAAAATTATATCAGTTTCCTCACCACTTTTAAAACGGAATTAACAGCAATTTATTTAAAAGGACAATTTCCGCCGCGGACTACTTAATAATGAATAGTGGTGATACGTGATGTGTGACTGTGACTCCTGAATTGTTTTCAAAGTCGGCATTGTGGCCAAAACTGATAGTACAGCCGGTGAAAAGAGATACAACATTACCAACAGGGGGTACGTCTGTAATGAAAACGTATTTGTGACTCACATCAGGACAATTAATCTAAAAATAATTGTTTCGTTTGAAAATTATTTGGATATACATCACGTCTGATATGCTGTTGCATGGGGATGGCTACGCCAACGATCCCTCAGCTGACACCTGCTGGTTACCTGAAGTAAAAAAGGAAAATGATTTTCTTAGAGTTTTGACACTTATTCGTTACATACTGTAGTCAAGAAAAGATCGGTCGACTATATATACCTGTATGTATTGTGGCTCCGTGGGAAGGACGCATTGTAGGGTATAAAAAGGATTCAGGTGGAATCAATGCTTTTTTCCCAGCTTTAAGGTGGTTACCAACCGTGACTTAAAGTGATTGTTAGAAAGTTTCAGATTTTTGTAAGTCAATGGCAATCATTTATTATGGTTCAGTGAGATGTTTTGGGAGTCCAAGTTCAAGTAAGATTATTTCGTTTTTGTTTTGTTATTGTTCAGTTTTCTATAAACTAATTATTGTGCCTGCCGTAGCTGTGTAGGGAAGGTGCATTAGAGGGTATACAGGCACAGGTGGATAAATCCCGTAAAATGGTAATGGCTTGGGTCCTTTCCAGAATACAGGGAAAGAACTATATGATGGCGGAACTTGGTAGGAAGGGTATTGGTTATTGATAGGCGAATGCGTTTCCTCAGATGCTGTTGATGTACGGTCACAAGAGAGAGTAAATCCAACAGATAATTCGCGTGACATTTGTTGTTGTGTTTCCGGGGAGTTCTTGGAGTATGAATTTAAAGAATTCACATTTTTATGTTCAGAATGCTGCACCACCTTAGCGCAATCAAAAACAGCATTCTACAATTCTTTGACCACGCCTTTCCTCTTTGCTACTGCTGTTAGTTTATTACCAGATAAGTTACCCTTTTTTGCCATTACTTGAATAAATGATCTTAATTTGTTCACATGCGTAGGTGCTCTTTCATACCATACAGCCCTTTATAATCCTTGATGGTTGTCAAGTAAAAATGATTCCTTTCTGATAGCATAGCAGCTGGCCTCCTACAGCGATATTCCTTTTTACGTCTGCACTTGACACCTGATTGGGTCTGCTGTAACTGTCTAGGCTTTCATGATATATGGTGTCTTGTTTGATGGTCAAAGCCTGTTATTTAAACCTATCGTTTTAAAAAAAATGGTCATTTCATCCCTATACATTTACAACAAATTGAAATCTCATAATAAATCAAATATTTTGAAATCAAGTGAGACCATTTGTTTCATAACTTCAGTCTGTTTATTCGCAAACAATTCATGATTTTCAAAAAAACTTAAATAAACTAACATACCTGTTCAGGCCTTTGTCTGTCCCTCACTGATGTGTTCCAAAACAAATTTAAATTCTTCAGTTTTATGTCGCCATATCTTAAGTTGTGATGTTCTGTGGCTGCTCCTAGTCAAAATTGTTCACTAATATGTAAGTATAATTTGTACATAAGGTTTTCTGAGTCAGCATAGCCCAACACTCCTTGATCTTTTAGCGGATGTTAGACCTCTGATGTCAGTGGATCTGATGCATTTGGAAGGTTGTCTTTCCTTAGCCTTTTCAGTTGGATCTTCAAAGTGTCTTGTGAGTGTCTATAGTCAATGTATTTACTGTGTCCTTTTTGTACTTCTTCCCTTTAAGGAATTTGTTTAATCATTGATGCGTAAACAAATAAAGCTGAAGGTGTTTAGTCATCACCTGCCCCAGATTTACTCTGTCTAATTCCAAGGTAAAACTCTGTCCAGAGTCCTAAAGTCCAAAGTCTGTATTTCTCTATCATCCGGGTAGACTTCATGAAGATTTTAAATATTTTCACTGAAGTCATCATGCTCCTGACAGTGTTCCTGTTTTGTGTGTCAGCTATAATAGCTGTCAGGTCAGCTTAGTCGTTTCTCAAAATCCTTCTCCAAAACTGTTTCTACTCTTCCGTGTGAATATTTCTTCATCCAGTGTCATTTGTTTGTTTTCCTTTTTCTTTTCAATACTTAGCAGATCTTTTAATATAATATCATCTAGTGACATGAAATCTGACAGTTGCATCCTGACTTGTACGAGCAGACGAACAGATTAGTAACACTGACCTCATTGTTGAGTTGACCTCCTAGTCAGAATGACCTTTGACATACGATAAAGTTGTTCCGTTTCATGACGTCACTTGGCGCCAGCAGACATTCTTTTTTGAGAAAATACGTTCCCAAGTGCTGGGAAATTGGGAAACACGTTCTCAAGTTGTTCTCAAGTTGTTCTCAACTTCTTCTTGAGTATTCCCATACTGACACACCTGTGATAATGAGTTTATCATGCTACCGGTAAGTGGTATTAAGAAGTATACCGATGGTAAAATATCACTCCAGAATATTTGATAACTTAACATTTGTCTGTGTTGTTAAAAAATATTATGTTCGGCATGCATGTAGTAAATTGACATTTATCCTTCAACTGTCACACAATTCACGGCTCGGAATGAATTGTAATATTATCTTTTTTACATGTTTTCTATGACAGAATATCATATTGTTTTATGAGTTAACTTATTACTTTCATATGTATAAAAAAGTATAATTTTCTTTCCCTTCATTGTAATTATTCATTAATGTAATCAGCAATAACGATATTTGCGATGTCCACATTGTTCAGCCGGTTTTCTCAAACTTATTGGCACCTAATACCTAATAATCTTCAATTTCTATTTTTTATCTTTCAGTGCTGGTTATCAAATATATCGGACCACCCGTTATGGCAGTCTAACAGACCCTGTATGGATGGCAGGTGTAGACTGTACCGGTACGGAGGAAAGTCTAGCTGATTGTTCCTTTGACGGATGGGGTCAAGTTGGTTATTGCAGTAGTTTCTCCGCTAGTGTTTTCTGTTATAATTTCATAGGTACGTTTATATTAATAACAGAAATTCAGAGGGCAATCCTATTTTGATGAAAGATGATTGCTCGTCATTTTCAACGTATCTCAAGTTTCTCAAAATTGATAATAATGAATGTAGTTAAACATCTATCAAAATATGAAAAACGACACCGATATGTATCCTTGTTTCTGGTTTTGTTAATATCTATTAAATTTAATGAGAAAGACATTTGAGAAAAAATATTCGATTTCAATCAAAGAATAAATAAAGATACTAAAATTATTACAGACTTTTGTAAAACTTCAGTTGCAAAAGCATTAATCTGTAAAAAAATATTAGAACTATTGTTAATATACACTCTTTTGCAAGATGTCAAAGACCCTTTCACCTTAAAAAACGAAGTCATTTTTAAATAATAGGTGTCATTTGACATTGCAACTGCTGTTTATTTCCATGGGATTATTCGCAAAACATGACTTTTTGTAAGCTTAAAATGATACGGAAATACTGCTATGTGATGGAATAAGCTGAAGTTCTAGCTCTTTAATGTGTAATGTAAACACAATTTTAACAGAAACAGACTTTGACATCCGCCTGCGTGGAGGTCCAGAACCCAATGTGGGCCGTGTAGAAGTGTATTACAGTGGTTACTGGGGAAGTGTTTGTGGCCTATACGGCTGGGACAACAGAGATGCTAATGTCACGTGCAGGATGTTAGGATACAGGTAAGGCACCGACATCCATGATACTGTTACCATCCGTTATAGTGTAATCAGATAAAAGAAGAAAATACGTTTCACGCATATGTTAAAGTACAAAATACCTGAGTTGTTTTCAGAGATATTTTATCTTGTATAAAGCTTTATATTGAATTTTAGGTATGTTTCTCCAGAATATCTAATAATTTGACGTTTGTCTGTATTGTTTTAAATTATTTTGTTCAACATTCATGGAGTAAACTGACCTTTATCTTTCAACTGTCACACTATTCACGGCTCGGAATATATTGTTATTACAGCTGTTTGTAAGTAATATATCTAATAGATTGTTCATCAATCCACTTAATTGATATTATGTGTATTAAAAAAGTAACATGTTCTTTCCCTGAAAGGTAATTATTCATAAATTTAATTGGCAATATCAATAGTTGCAATGTCCGCATTGTTAAACTGGTTTTCTCCGAGAAATAGAATTGATAATTGTACATCCGGATCACATTTTCTTGTATATAACCTTTGTCACAATTATTAAAAGCAGCTCGGTAAGTTATGTTATTGGAACAATAAGATATAATGATTAAAAAGACGTGCTAAAATAGTACCGGGAACGAATTTATATCACGTTTCTAATATTAAACAGCTTTTTTAGACTTGTTAAATAGTACCGTGAACGAAGTTTTACCATGTTACTAATATTAAACAACTTTTTGTAAACCAAAGACTTGTCAAACTATCAGCAACTAAATATCTTCCATTTTTATATTTATCTTTCAGTGCTGGTCATCAAATATATCGGACCACCCGTTATGGCCGTCTTACAGATCCTGTATGGATGGCAGGTGTAGACTGTAACGGTACGGAGGACAGTCTAGCGGATTGTTCCTTTGACGGATGGGGTCAAGCTGGTTTTTGCAGTAGTTACCCCGCTAGTGTTTTCTGTTATTATTTCACAGGTAAGTTTATATTTATCACAGAAGTTCAGATGACAATCCTATTTAAATGAGGGATGATCTTAAGTTTCTCAATGGATATTAATGAATGCATATATAGCATGAAACAAACTACCAAATAAAATTAACGAAATGTAAACTGGCTGCTGATATTGTTCATATTTATTACATTTAATAAGAAAGATATTTGAGGAATAGTTTAGAATTGATCAAATGATAGGTCAAGATCCTAAAACTATTACAGAATTCTGTAAAAATAAATAAATATGAAATGAGCAGAAGTGCTATCTTATTGTTCTTTAATGTAAATCTAATTTCGAACAGAAACAGACTTTGATATCCGCCTGAGTGGAGGTCCAGAACCAAATGTGGGCCGTTTAGAAGTGTATTACAGTGGTAACTGGGGAAGTGTTTGTGGCTTGAATGACTGGGACGACAGAGACGCTAATGTAACGTGTAGGATGTTAGGATACAGGTAATGTACTAACATTCATGTTACTTTCGCTATCCGTTGCTGTATTAACATGTTTAGTAAATATTACAATGAGATAAAAGTAAAAACTATGCTCTACGTTTTTGTTAAATTACCAAAGAAAAATATACCAACTGCAAAACGTGTGGTATGTATACATTTATCACATATTTCAGATGTCAAACCTATTTTAATGAGTGATTATTTTTGATTATTTTAACAGATCTGAGGTTTCTCAAAAGGGATATTAATGAATACAGATATAACATCAGACAAACTAGAACAAACGATAACGAATCGTATACTTGGTTCTTGTATTGTTCAAATTTATTACATTTATTGAGAATAACTTTGAAAAAAAGTTTAATATTTTGATCAAAGGCTAGGTTAAGATCCTTAAAACTGTTACGGAATTCTTTAAAACTTCTTTTGCAAAAGAATATATCATTCTGTAAAATGGATTTTAATTTTCATGAAGATACCCTCTTTCGCAACACTTTACACACCCTGCTATTTGATGAAACAAAGTCATTTATAGATTTGACATTACAAATGCTGTTTTGATAAAATGAGAGGAAGTGCTATCTTATTGTTCCTTAGTGTAAACCTAATTTCTAACAGAAACAAACTTTGACATCCGCCTGAGTGGAGGTTCAGAACCCAATGTGGGCCGTGTAGAAGTGTACTACAGTGGTTACTGGGGAAGTGTTTGTGGCCTATACCACTGGGACGACAGAGATGCTAAAGTCACGTGCAGGATGTAAGGATACAGGTAATGTACCGTCAGTCATGTTACTGTGGTCATCCTTTGTATAATGAAACATGTCCGGTAAATATTGCAATGAGAAACAAGTAAATACTACGTTCCACGTTTAAGTCAAAGTACTTAAATGAAAAAGGACCAACTGCAAAATGTTTTCTTCCATAAACCTAGCTTGTATTCAGATCAATATATCTTGTAAGGCTTTCTGTTGATCTAATTACTAAAATTTTGTCTGTGTTGTTCCAAAATGTTTCCTTATGATTTTATTCAAGTTTCATGGAGGAAAATGATATCTATCTATCAACTGTCACGCGTAATTTGGCTCGGAAGGATTTCTATTTGCAGGTTATATGTCACAGAATATCAGATCTTCATTTTTTAATCCGCTCAATACATATAATATGTATTAAGTCACATACCCTTTTCCTACATTTTAATTATTTATATGTTTAATCATCAACAGCAGTATATTTGTGATGTCAACATTGTTCAACCTGTTTTCTCACTGTATAAGTATCGATTATTGAACATCCGGCTAACAGTTTCTTGTATATGACCTCCTTGTGTATAACTAGCGATTTGTATATGACCTCCTTTTGTATAACTAGCGATTTGTATATGACCTCNTGGTGAACAAATATATATTACGTTACTAATACTAATATACAACTTTTTTTAATCTAAGACTTGTCAAGTTATTTGCATCTAAAAATTTATATTTCTATATCAATTTTTCAGTGATGGTCATCAAATATATCGCATCACACGTTATGGCCGTCTTACAGACCCGGTATGGATGGCAGGTGTAGACTGTAACGGTACGGAGGACAGTCTAGTCGATTGTTCCTTTGACGGATGGGGACAAGTTGGTTCTTGCAGTAGTTATCCCGCTAGTGTTTTCTGTTATAATTTCACAGGTATACATATATTTATCACAGAATTTCAGATTTCAAGCCTTTTTTAATGAGGGGTGATTTTTCATTATTTTAACTGATCTGAGGTTTCTGCAAATGGATATTAATGAATGCAGATATAGCATCTCACAAACGACAACAAACGACAACAAAATGTATACTCGCTTCTTGTATTGTTCAAATATATTACATTAATAGAGAATGACATTTGAAGAAAGTTTAAGATTTCGATCAAAGGCGAGGTTAAGATCCTTAAATTGTTACAGAATTCTTTAAACACATTTTTAATAGAAACAGACTTTGACATCCGCCTGAGTGGAGGTTCAGAATCCAATGTGGGCCGTGTAGAAGTGTACTACAGTGGTGACTGGGGAAGTGTTTGTGGCCTGTACGACTGGGACGACAAAGACGCTATTGTAACGTGCAGGATGTTAGGATACAGGTAATACATCGACAGTCATGTTACTGTGGTCATCCTTTGTAGAATTAAACATGTCCGGTAAATATTGCAATGAGAAACAAGTAAATACTACGTTCCACGTTTAAGTCAAAGTACTTAAATAAAAAAAGACCAACTGCAACACATTTTTTACCATTAACCTAGCTTGTATTCAGATCAATATATCTTGTATAAGGCTTTCTTGTGAGTTTGAGGTATATCTCTGCAGAATATGTAATTACTTAACTTTTATCTATATAGTGTAAAATTTCGTTATGGTTTTATTCAAGTTTCATGGAGAAATATGACATTCATCGTTCAACTTTCACGCGATATTTGGCTCGTAAAGATTTCTATTTGCAGGTTATATGTCACGGAATATCAGATCTTGATTGTATTAATCTGCTCAATTGATATAATATGTATTAAGTCACATACCCTTTCCGTACCTGTTAATTAATTATATGTTTAATCAACCACAGCAGTATATTTGTGATGTCAAAATTGTTAAACCAGTTTTCTTCGTGTATAAGTATTTATTATTGTACACCCGTATAATAGGTTCATGTTTATGACCCCCTTTTGCATAACTAGCGCACATCAAACTTTGAGTCATGTTACGGGGACAATACCATATATATACGCGTTTCCAAAGTACTGCGAATGAATATATACTACTTTACGAATATTGATGTACTGTTCGGTTTGTTATCTAAGACTCATCAAGTTATTCGCTATCCGTTACTAAAAATGCTAAGCCGACAACGGCTTTAGCACTACGTTCATAATATATATGTAAGAAATACTACTTTATTGAAATTTCCTGACATTGTTGTTAACATTTCAGTTTACGCTTTTTCCAATAACAATAAGAATATTGACTTTAAATTTTTTGAACAATATTCCCCTTCGTCGATTTTTTGAACTTTTATCAAATTATGAAAAAACCCAAATATGTCACAATGACATAAAAGTCACCCCATCTCATGTATGATCATTTTCAGTTTAATAAATCATTGACAAATCTACAACTGACAGATTTTCACCTGTCAATCAAAATGGTTTAAAAATGACCAGATGTACATTCATACACGCTGTTTAGGTAACCATATCAACACATGGATATTATAAGAAAGCATGTGGTTAATTAACATTTTTTATTAAATATTGAGTTGTTTTTTCTTGGAATGTCAAGATGGACTGACAGCACCAACCAGGTAGGTAAATAATGAAGGTTACCTAAAAAAATACCACAGTGGGCCAAGAAATTGGTTATGTTGAGAAAACATATCACACAAAGCCTTATCGTTCATTAGGCCTTGCGTTGATTGACACCTCGAGTACGGGAATATTGCTACCTGGCATGGACAGAACAGGTTATTATTGGAATATAACGATGTTGTTTTCACAACAATCACTTTCAGAAAAGATTCAATATTATATACGGATACATCTTTAACTTTTTTAATAAAATACACGATTCCAAGTCGTGTTCTGAGCGTCTGCAAATCAGACTGAATCGGACATCGATATCGACAGAGTGTGTACGCTAAAGGCAGCCACTCGAACAGGTCCGACGAGGACCGCCAACAGCCGAATTCGCGAGACATACAAAACACCAAACAACTGTGATTTTAGCATTTCTTCTTCGAATAGAAAATATCGGAATGTATTGAGCCCGTAGATATTTTGTTAAGGTATGTGACCTTGTGAGTTCCTGCCGGTAAATTGTATCACGCGACCTTGACTCTCCGCAGTACAAAACATGCGCACTTCGCCACATTCTCCATGTCGTTTTGACATATTCATACGGTTTAATAGTTCAGCGTGATTTTGCCCAAGAAGGGCATTTGCAATTCTTCAATATATTTCCCAATACGTGATATTAATCAATCACAACGTAACGTCAATAAGATCTGAACGTTGGGGCTATTTTATTCGAGTTTATTTATCTGCTTCTATCGTATAATAGGACTAAAACTTGCAACTTTTTATAATGGTTCAAAAGGCAATGCAATCAAAAGTTATTCAACGAAATTGAGCAGTTTATTGCTGCTAGAATATCTTAAAACATTTACGAAAATCCCCGAAAAAATAAATTAAATGGTCGCGACCATGGACTGGTTTTGGATTGTTCTTGCGTATCTTGCGCAACCCTTTCCTGATACTTTAATTTTTCCTTAAAAATGTGCACACTTTGCCAAAATGCGCCTGTTACTCTAAACAGTGATCGGCAACATATGTCAAAACCTAGAACGAAACCGAAATTAATAGTCCCATTTTGGGTTCCCCTGGGGGTGACTCAAATACTGTTGAAAGGGAGACAGCTGCGAGATAATAGCTACGGATTAGGACAACCATTTCACTACAAGGGAAATAGATCTCATAACAGCAAAGCACAAATAAATTATGTTTTCATATCGGTAATTTTATTATGTATAATATGAACATGTGTATTACAGAAATTAAATCCCTCGATTATCTTCGAATTTTGGAAATTAAATCTTCTGTTGTAAATTACGCGCAATAATCTGCTGGCTCTTTCCTCCATTCCGCCATAATGGATGAGTCATGCTTGTATTTATTAACAAGTGTTTGGGCCAGAGTGGGAATCAGACTGGATGGGGGAGCGGGGTAATTAGTCAGTCATCCTGGCGACAGTTCCAGTTGCGAATTTTCTGAACTTCTAGTGTTTGATAAGCGCGCCACTTTTAGTAGTTTTAAGTTAAAAAATAAGTACTTGCTCTTGAATGTTTATCAATAATCGTGTTGGCTTCTATAACTGCTTCCTTTCAAAGTTCACCTTTTACATTTGACTAACGCCTGCTTCATTACTTCCAGTATTTTGATTATATCTATCTTTCAGTGATGGTCATCAAATAAATCGCATCACCAGTTATGGCCGTCTTACAGATCCTGTATGGATGGCAGGTGTAGGCTGTAACGGTACGGAGGACAGTCTCGCTGATTGTTCTTTTGAGGGATGGGGTCAAGTTGGTTATTGCAGTATATATCCCGCTAATGTTTTCTGTTACAATTCAACAGGTACGTATATATTAATCATAGAATTTCAGATGGCAATTGAATTGAAATGAAGGATGATTTTTCCTCTTTTTCAACATATTTAATTTTCTAAAATTGGATATTAATGAACGCAGATATGACACCTATCAAACTACGAAAGCAAAATCGACATGTGTACTTGTTCCCAGTATATCTACTACATTTAAGGAGAAAGGTATTTACGGGAAGTTTTAGTTTTCAATCAAAGATAGGTAACAATATCTTGCAAAAAAACAAAAAAACTAAATCATTCTGTAAAAATAGATTTCATTTTTCATGAATATACCCTCTTTCGCAACATTTTACACACCCTTTTATCTGATGAAACGACGTAATTTATTAATTTGAAATTACAACTGCTGTTTTGATGAAATGGGCTGAAGTGCTATTGAATTGTTGTTGTTTAATGTAAACATCACTGTTAACAGAAACAGACTTTGATATCCGCCTAAGTGGAGGTGCAGAACCCAATGTGGGCCGCGTGGAAGTGTATTACAGTGGTTACTAGGGAAGTGTTTGTGGCCTATACGACTGGGACGACAGTGACGCTAATGTAACGTGCAGGATGTTAGGATACAGGTAATGTATCAGTATTCATTCTACTGAGGCTATCCTTTGAAGTATGGAACATTGCGGTAAATATTGCAATGAGAAAAAAAGTAAAAAAATACGTCCCACGTTTATGTTAAAGAACGTCAACAAAAAAGTACCAACTGAAAGGCGTTTTTTTCCAAAAACCTGACTTGTGTTCAGATTAATATATCTTGTAAAAGGCTTTCTGTTGAGTGTGAGGAATTTCACTCCAGAATATATAACCACTTAACATTGTATAACTAGCGAGTAGAGAACTTTGCTTGGTGAGTTATTTTACGGGGGACAATACAATATACAGACGCGTTAATGAAGTACCGCGAACAATATATGTTACATTATGAATATTGATCTACTGTTTGTTTTGTAAACTAAGACTAATCGGTTAGTTATTCGGTATTCGCATCTAAAAAAATTAATTTTAATATCTATCTTTCAGTGTTGGTCATCAAGTATATCGGAACATCCGTTATGGCAGGCTAACATATCCTATATGGATGGCAGGTGTAGACTGTAACGGTACGGAGGACAGTCTGGCTGATTGTTCCTTTGACGGATGGGGTCAAGTTGGTTTTTGCAGTATATATCCCGCTAATGTTTTCTGCTATAATTCTATAGGTACGTTTATATTAAGCACAGAATTTCAGATGTCAGTTGTATTTTAATGAGGGATAATTTCTCATCATTTTTAACATATCTTAAGTTTCTCAAAACGGATATCAATAAACGCAGACATTACACATATCAAACAACAAAACATACTTCTAGTATCTTTCATATCTGTTACGTTTAAGGACAAACATATTTGAGGGAAGTTTTAGATTTCGAATCAAAAGATAGGTAAAAAAAACATTCTGTTAACAGACTCAACATTTTTTATGAATATACCCTCTTTCGCGCAGTCATTCATTAAAACTTGCTGTTTGTTCATGGAAATATTCGCAAAAATGTTTTGTTACAGGCTAAAAATGATATGGATTTCCTTTTTTGTGAACAAAGAAGCGGAAGTGCTATTTTATTTTTGTTGTTTAATGTAAACAAAACTATTAACAGAAACAGAATTCGAGGTCCGCCTAAGTGGAGGTCCAGAACCCAATGTTGGCCGTGTAGAAGTGTATTACAGTGGTTACTGGGGAAGTGTTTGTGGCCTAGACCACTGGGACTACAGGGACGCTAATGTTATATGCAGGATGTTAGGATAAAGGTAATTTACCGACATGCATGCTTCTTTGACCACCCTGTGCAGTTAGCAACATGTTAAGTAATTAAAGCAAACAGATGAAAGACAGTACGTTCCACTGTAATGCAACGTGCAACACTTACTGCAAAACTTATTTCTTTAAAAGAAATTTATGTTCAATTAAAAAGACAAAAACAATACAGACTTACGGAAAAAAGTTATGCAAGTTTGTTTGGGCCTTATGACTTCATTATTTGTTGACCAAATTTCTGTAGGTTTAGTAGGATTGCTCCTGGTAGTGTCAATGGGATGCTGGCTCTAATTTATGAATTTATGTAAGTCCCGATTACAGAACCTTGCCATATGCATTTATATGTAGTAGGGATGGGGGAATACAAGGGTATCGTCACATATTTGCTGATCTATGTTCTAATGACGAAGATAAACTAAGCGGCGACACCCAGTTATGTTAGCACCTCCTACGCCCAATATGATTAAGGCAATGGCTCTGAGTGAATTTTTTTTCCACACAACTGAAATATGAAGCTCATCAATTTAGTATATAAGATAGTTGATGATATGTACAATGAGATAAGAGAGAAAAGAGAGGGAGAGACATCTGGATCATCTTAGAAGTAGATGTTAACGCGTAATTTTGCGACGTCAAGACAGCGATACGTCTGTTTCATCTCCGGAACAGTCTAAACGGCAAAGGAAATGGTAAACAATGTCATATGTAATTACGGACGCCGCATCTGCCCGAGGACGGTTAAGAATAATCCGATTCGCGATTTTAACTTAAAACCACGACGTCCTTACGTTGGACCGCAACTTAATCAGAGGCGATGTCAACGCCTTCTGCCATGGTAGCGTTAACATGCCAAAAATGTGTATCGCTTAGCAGATGGAGGTTTGTGCGTTTTTGTTCTAACAAATCTCTCTTTACGCTTTTCCAATCCGATGGCTGCAAACGTGTACTGATTTCACGGTGAACGTTAAGCAAATACATGCGGGTCTATTTTGGTTTGGACTCGCATTTCTAAAACCCAAATAATTATCATAAATTGCAATCCAACAGGCATTGGATACCAAGATCAGGTCCTCCAGCCCATTGACATTGCCCATGACCGCCAGTGGAATCTTACCTTCTAGCAAGACAATGCCAGGCCACACGTTGTTAGGGTGTATTGTACAGTCCGTACCCAAAAACATTGTCCCGGTACATGATTGACTTATATACAATCAAGATTTGTCTCTTATTGAACATAACTTTTTTATTGCTAATTCGTTTGCATCTGAAGCTCAAAGAATCTAATATGTTTCTATACTATCTTACAGTGCTGGTCGGCAAATGTTTCGCACCACCCGTTATGGCAGTCTAACAGATCCTGTATGGATGGGTGGTGTAGACTGTGACGGCACGGAGGACAGTCTAGCCGATTGTTCCGTTGACGGATGGGGTCAAGTTGGTTATTGCAGTAATACCCCTGCTAGTGTTTTCTGTTATAACTTCACAGGTATGCGGATATTCGGCAGCGAGTGGAATAATTAATTTCAAATGACACAACTAGATACTACAATTTTTATTTTTTTAAATTGTTTAATGTACAAAGGAACATTAGTTATCTTGCCTGTCCTATTTCAACAATATAATATGGTATTCACCAAATCGAATGTTGCAGAATAATGTCTGTTGTGTACAAATATTGTGTGCCAATTTATTCCCCAGCCGTTTTCAACATATAAACGGAGCTTTATTTTATTTTCAGTTGACTCTACAATAGACATTCGTCTGGTAGATGGACCAAACAGTTATACCGGTCGAGTTGAGGTGTACTACGGTGGATATTGGGGAGGTGTTTGTTCTCAAACGCTTTATTTTGGTGATAAAGACGCAGTTGTCGCATGCAGGATGCTTCAATAAAGGCAAGTGCGCTTAAATAAACTCTTGTTAGTGTGGTATGAAACGATCAAATGTTTCACCTCATATCGTTGTAAATACCATAAAAATTTAGATAAAAATCAACTTTTAAAAGGTCTTAACTGTTCCCCCAAAAAGGCTAAAAAGAAAAACAAAGAAAGTAAACACTGACTTGAAAAAAATGGCTGTAGATACAAAAAGCCTAACAATTTTCTTGTCTTTTCGTCTATTTAGAACCCGCTAATACACACTTGGAATACTTTGGTTTGTTTACAATGAAACTAAATACTGTCAACGATAGTTAACTTTTTGTTTATGTATTTTCAGTGATGGTCGGGGTTTATCGGCAGTGCACGGTCTTCCTAATGAACCTATTTGGATGGACAATGTACAATGTGACGGTACAGAGTCCAGTCTGGCTGATTGTCCTTTTGACGGTTGGGGAAATGTTGACCACTGCTATTATCAAGCTTATGTCACGTGCAACAACGTTTCAGGTAACTTAATTTTTCTTTATAATACTGTTCGCGTATGGATTTTCTATGTTATGTTTCCATTATTTAGCAATAAACAATTTCAAGGAATACAAAAATAGAATTGTTTTATACCTTTTAACCATGAACCATAAAACCATGAATATTTTTTTTTAAAATATGATTTTATTGAACATTTGCTTTTTGTAACTGCCTTATCATTCAAATTAGATCATATTTAGACGATAATAGTCTCAACTGTAAGAGCAATTTGATGATGTCCATACATGTACCATAAAATCGATATTTGTGAAATCTGTTCTGTTTGTGCCTTTGTATTATATCAATGGTATGATTTTATATAACTTTTCGCTGGCTTTTAAATATCATATTTAGCACTTGCTTATAAAGTATTATTTGTATTTTCTTACCATATATTATTCAATACTAAGTTATAAATGTTAATTAAATGGATCTATCATACATCAGGTAGGTAAACTTTTACTAACATATCAGTCGTAATGGCATATTAGTCACGGATCAACGTATCCAGGTTTGTATACAGTTATCAATTTGAGATATATAACAACTGATTGGTAGACATTTGTAGACGTGTATATGTGTGTTAATGTTTGTATGTGTTTGTATATATATCACTTGAATATTAGTTTGAAGTATTGATCAGATGCAGATAATATGATCACATTATTATCTAACAACTGATTGGTAGACATTTGTAGACGTGTATATGTATGTTTATGTATGGATTTGTTTATATATACATTACTTGAGTATTAGTTTTAAGTATTGATCAGATGCAGATGATGTGGTCACATTATTATTTGTATAACCTTATATCCAGTTAAAATGCCTTTTCTTGTATTTTGTTATTAAAATTTCCACATTCAGTTTGCTTGAATTAAATTTCTATTTCTGTTTTATTTAATATTTTTTCGTACTTGTTTGTATTAAATTTACCTGAATTAAGATTTTTTATACCAAATATAGCATTGAAATGTTTAATGTTTTCACGTTTGTTTCAATCTTGCCATTTTACTGAATGATAATAAATGCCGTTTACACTGAATAATTCAGGGAACTCTAAATAAGCAGTTATAATTCAAACTATATCATCAATATTTAAATAACTGTATAAGTATTTTATAAAAAAACTAATTACTCATTTACCTTATGTTTATGTCAGTAACCCAGTTTGTTTCAGAACAGATGCCTCGGACTCCACCGGACAGCCAAAACCTATCTTGTATTGTATGTCACAACATAAATGTAGTCACTGCATACTGCCACTCGTGGTTTCAGCCAAAAGCAGCGACTTTATTTGGCTTATGTTAACAAAAACATTTTTTTGGAGTTGACATTAAATTCATTATTCGGACAGTTAAATTAAAGTAAATGTCCTGTTTTGATTTGGTTGTTTATTTAGTGTTAAATCTTCATATGTAATTTGAAGTAGTGTTCTTCTAATTTTGAAATTCATACACTTTATGCACCTCCCTTTCTGTTTCTAAAATAGTTTAAACCTATTTGGATTTCATACCTTTTAGCCCCTATCATTATCGATGAGTCCCGGAAGAACGAAACATTTGTACGATGCAGCGTAATTCATTTTTGGCGTATTGTATAAGTCACCAAATTGTATCGGTGCAATTACATTTGTGTATCCAATGCTCACATTTCTTCAAAGGTTATGATTTAGAAATATTTATAACAAATGCAATGCTTCACGGTTTTTGATACTTTAAATGATATATCCGCTATTAGAAAACAAAACAACCCAATCACAACACCGATATTTATTCATTCCAAATTCGGGTCCCGAGTAGAGCGTCCACGTCGTGGGACCTGGAAACATATCTATTGATATGGCAAAGAGTTCTAATTTTGTACTCAGTTTATTTTCCCTATTCTTTTTCAGGTGTCGTCATTGACATGATGTTGAGTTCGAATTATAATTTTTGTTCCAACTTCATTTTTAAATAAACTATATTTATTTTACAATGATTATAAAAAAATCTTCAGCAGATATAATTCACTGTTGTTGGCCCAGATGTTATCGCACAAAGGTCTTAGTTTGACAAGAAACTGGAGTACCCGGTGAACACCCGGTGAATCAAACACCTGTCATCTTGGTGAAAAGCGCGTACACTATGCACTGCGCAATTTCGTCCGTATACATGAACAAAATAAATCCATTCCTAAGATTCAAATGATTGTCTCCTGTTAAAAATACATTAAATTTCTTTACAAACACTGGTCCTTGTGTTTCTTCTTTATTGTTATTTACTTGTAGAATGTTAGTGTGCTGACAAATGGGTAGATAGCATCAACAGATGTAATCTTTACTACCTCTTTAATTTTATTTTTTATTTTTTATCCATTAAAATATGTTTTCTATTTACAAACGTCTGTTTTTCAAACGTATATCAATCATTATATGTGGTCCGCTCAGAGGGTTTTACTGTGGGAGGAAATTGTATTTGTATTTTTATAATTCAAAAATAGCAAAAAACAAAATATGAAATCATGGTCGATCAAAGGGGACACCAATGCAACCGGAAACAAAAAAGATGAAGTTCTGGACCACATAATACACAGATATATGTGGATAGGGCATTCACCTTTCACTAAGACGACCGGGGTGCGACTGGTATTGGGTCACTACGTGTTTTTTCTCCTTTTTCCATGTTTTTTCTCCCACACTATGATTATCTGTGCGCGCTGCCATGTAGGCCATCAAGAGCGATGAGTGTAAGTTAAGAAAAACCTATTTCCTGATTGTTGTCAAAAATATATAGTTTATATCTTTCAACACCCTTATACATCAGCAGCCAACCAAGACAACGATAACCGTAATAATGTTATCCTTTGAGAAGTTTAAAAAAAACCTACCTTAAGCTTTAATTCCTATATGTATGTTTTCTGAGGTGTAAACAGAAAAAAGTTTTCCCCTTGTAAATTTCTTTCATAATACTGAACATTTAAAACTTGGACAGCAAGATTCGATTCGCTACAGTTTAAATGCTGATACCTTGACACTGACGATGATTTTAATGTCAAAAGGTAAACTTTTCCCAGTGATTACAGTGCAATAATAAAACAAAATCAAATTTATTCGCATTATTCAAAATGGCTGGTTAATTTGCCTTTTACAAATCTTGTCAAATTAATTCAGCAATCTTAGGAACCTAGTTTTATGACACACTTTCAGATGAGTGTTTGCTTTTACATTTGACCACTATTTGTTTAATGGTATTGAAACCAGTTATATGAGATCAAAACGAGATTTTAACGTGAATTGAACTATAGGAGAGTAGATCATAATGTTGTCAACATTGTACCATACGTACACGTTATGTCAATATGACATCCGTGCCATTTCTGCTATGGTTGTTTTCAAGTATTGCCTTTATTTATGTTTGCGGAAAGAGTTTAAATTTCTATATAATTATATTGAAGACCTAAAGCCAATGCCAACATGAATGATGTTCTGTTGATAAAACATGTCGCAATACAAAAGTTATAACAGTTGAACCAAAATAGATGAAAGTTTCTACTCTCTTGTTTCAGTTCCGTTTATCCGACTATCTTAAATGATCATGAATAACTTGCGGCTAACAACTTAATGCTGCATGTGCAGTTTCTGTTTGTGTGCATAAACAGAACAACAAAACAGACTGCTGTTTTACTGCAATATCATTTTAAATTAACATGATGCAGTGATTTTATATAAGGTACAATTACATTTGACAACGGCGTATCATGTAAAATAACCATGTGTATTGATAAACATTGAAACAGTATGGCGCATTATTTTGTCATAGAATGACATGGTAAATATCATAGAATGTGTCATTGACCGAGTTAAAATTACCAATTACAGGTTTTTAATCATTTGTGGTTATGAAAGCATGATATATCCTTTTTTTTTCATACTTTTGTAATTATTTTCGAGAAATACATATTTTTATTAAAACCTGCTTTGCAGTATTAAACATAAAAATTCATTTTTTTCCCATAGATATCATACATTATTTCTAGGACAGATATGCGCAGGCCTCAAATCGCAAAAAGGGAAATATATCCTGATGGATAGGATAAAGTGTTATCATCAGGAGTAAATAAAATAAAGTGGTATCATCCAGATTGGATAGGATAAGGAGTAAATAAAATAAAGTGTTATCATCTGGATTGGATAGGATAAGGTGTTATCATTAGGAGTGGATAAAATAAGGTGTTATCATCAAGATTGGATAGGATTTATAGATTTATAGTTGACTTTTTAAACGAAAAATTATATAAGGTAGTAGTATATAGATGATTAATATCTTATATCGTTTAAAAAAGTCAACTAAACAACATGTTTCCAAATGACTTTTAAGCGCAACAGGTCAACGATTACAAGTCCTCGGTCGATGACAAACGTAAACAAATAGAACATTTGCGCGGAGGAAAACAATGAATCTTAAAACTTCGTAGAAAATATATTTTTAAAACAATCCTATCAT